AGTTGAAGCTTGAACTTAACTGCTCGCGCATTCCATAATCGAACATCGAAAAATCATTTGACTAGCCCGCTGGAAGGGTAACAGACTGATTTATACTCAGACAGCGCGAGTGATGAAAAAAGTCAACCGAAATCATGGGAACTGCGGGCGGAGGGAGTCGAACCCTTTTGACTGCAAGATATATTTGCAACGTCATTTCTCATGCTTCGCAGTTGTGTACCGCACACCACGCCCGCTTTCTCTTTTATTTTGGATCCCTACCATAGATGCTTGTGCAGATTTGAATCGGGTTGATTACATAAAGACTCCAGTAAATTGCCGCTAGAAATCGATTGGTTCCACGTATGAGTAGTAATGGAGACGACGCGGCAGCCCAAAGTCGAGACTCAAAACTACCCTAAGTAACCGAACTTCAAAAAAAAACCTATTTGACTATACTAGGCCGTTGAAAGGATAACATAATTTACAGAAAGCTTAACGATCAGGCAACTCGAGCGCAGGAAACAGTCTGGTTATTTTACTATGCGGGCGGAGGGAGTCGAACCCTTTTGACTGCAACATCGAATGGAAATTACCGTACGCATAGTTCGCAGTTGTGTATTCCCGCACACCACGCCCGCTTCCCCTCTCCCTTCTTTTCTTAACTACCTCCCGTACTCCGCGGGAAAATATTATGGGGTGGGATATGAATATCATCACTTCAGTTTTAAGTTTCCTCCGAGTCCGGGGCGTGTTGCCGCAATATAGCCGAAATCTCCTCCCCCAAAAGAAACAATTCATCAACCTGAGCGAACTTGGAAAAAGCATTCCATTGCCTGATATGCGGACGGATGGAGTCGAATCATCATAGCTGCAATATTAAACTTGCTCCGAATGCTTCGCAGTTGTGTACCGCACACCACGCCCGCTTCCTCCTCAACTTTCCCTCCTTGCATAAATACGTGGGATACTGGTCGGCGCGGCTTGCATCGTCGTCTGAATCGTATTATTCACGAATCGCTCCGCCCATTATCCGAATCCTGGTCATCCACCTCCCTCCCCCTCAGAGACACGAAAAGGAAAGTCGAGGACAAAAAATTGTTCTTAGAGATACTCGCTAATGCGGGCAGAGGGAGTCGAACCCTCTTCACTGCAAGATTGCTTTTTCAAGTATTTACTAATATTCGCAGTTGTGTAACACCGCACACCACGCCCGCTTCCCACTTGACTTCGGTTCCCTACATAGATTATTAGATTCGTAGCATACTCATCTCCGCCGCCCTGCGTCGCATTGACTCAATATTCCAGTAAATCGCCTCTAATTTAAAAACCGCGGGACCTAATTAAAAAGAAATGGATTCATAACCAGCGACTCCGAGAGAGAGCACTTGGCCGGGAATCAAAAAGTTTCTCCAGTTACACATGCGGACGGGGGGAGTCGAACCCTCCCTCTTCCTCTTGCCTCTTGCCTACGGTAGTACCGCCAACTCTAAGCTCCGTCAAACGGTTTTGCGGTCCTTGGACCTTGGGTGTATCCAGACTCTGCGCGCCAGTTTAAAATGTGTGTTAATTCCTCAGCTTGCGGCGTTGAGAGTTCCGCGTGCACAACGACGGCTACAGGTACGGAATCGCAAAGACAACCATGACTACTACAGCTACGGCAACATCAGCTACGACGACAACACGAAGACAACAACAGCTGCTACAACTACAACTACAACAGCTGCTACAACTACCTACGAAAACGCCACATCAACGAAAACGACAACAAGTTAACAACGGCTAGAAAGTATGTATAGGCAATGTGGGGTATGTAATGGATGGATGGATGAACGATGAACGATGAACGATGAAATAGAGTCAGGTCCGTGAAGGGGCAGGTCAGAGGGTCCTTGTCCGTGTCCAGTCGAGTCTGGAGTCCACCGCGCAGCGAGACGCGATTTCTTTTACCCATCGAGGAAATGCATGATCCCGAACAACTCGCGAAGAGATTACTCAGAGCGCGAACGCAGCCGCCGCCAACCCGAGGAGGACGTAGGCCGCAGCAGGCGCGAGGCGGAGGGCGCCGCTCGTAGAGGGGGAGGACGAGGGCGCGCTGCTGCTTGCGGAGCCGGAGCCGCTGGAGGAGGCGGAGTTGGAGGAGGGGGCGGTGCTGGATGGGGTTTCGTCAGTCGCTTTGCTTTGTGCGGTTTGTGCGAAGAGAAGGAGGGAAAGATCGAGGAAAATGGAGACTCACGCAGACGACTGAACCCCGCTCGCCGTCCCCGTCCCGCTCCCACTTGCCCCTGTTGTACTCGCACCAGTTCCGGTCACCCCCGTGGCGGTTGAAGAGGCGGGGGAAGAGGCGGAGCTCGGCGCGGCGGCGATGGCGAAGTCGTTGCTGGTGGCGAAGACGTCGTTGATGTTGGTGACGTTGACGAAGGTGAGGGTGTAGCCGTCCCTGGGCGCGGGTTAGGATGGATGGTGTCAATTGAAAGACAAGATACGGAGGAGGACGCACTGCGCAGGCACGGGCGGGATGGTCACGGTGATATTGTCGTTCGCGGGGTTGACGTTGTTCGCGATCGCGAACTGGGAGTTCTGCGGGGCGCACACACACACTCTTAGCTCACTGCTCTCCTAGTAGTAAAGAAGATAAGGAAAAAGAGAAGGACGCACGAAAGACGGGTGGTTCAGCTCGATGGAGAACACGCTGCGGGCGCGGGGGGAGCGGAGTTAGCCGGCGGGGCACGAGGCGGAAGGAAGGGGACGCACGGGTCGGAGGAGGTGCTGCTCCAGGTGATGCTGGTCGTCTCGGTGGAGGTGACGGAGCCCGGGGTGTTGATCGTCAACGCGAGGGCGGACGAGGCGCTCAGAGTCAGGGCGAGGGCGAGGCTGGCGTGCATGTCGGCCCAGATGAAGTTGAAATGCAAGTAAGTACTATGATGCTGACCTGAGTTTCGTGAACATGGCGGGCGGACAAGGAAGGTGGGTCGAGGGAGGGATGGAGTTAGTGAGAGGAGGATGAGGGCGGTGGGAGAGCGGTGGAGCGTGGAAGCGGAGCTAAATAAATAGCAGATAGAAGAAAGGAAATCAAACACAACAAAACGAGCCAACCACGCGGGCGGCTCTCACGATCGCGACGTCATCGCGTCGGCGTAAGATGTTCCAGCCCATTTGCGCTTTTTTTATCACAAAACACATGCCCCGGCGTGCGTGCGAGTTTCAGCGGGATGAACCATGAAAACCGCGTTTAATGTGCGCTTTTTTTGCGCGCTGGTGCAGCGAGGAATCGGCATGGATAGACGCCAAGGAGTGGAGCGGCTTTTCAAGAAGAAATCAACCAGGGAAATTTCAACACTGATGCCATCAGTTCGGGAGTTTTGGGCATCATCCATCAACCGGGACCAGATTGACCGCTTGGACACCTTGTAGGCCCCCGGACACTACCTATAAACCCTGTCCGCGATAGAGTAAATCAGTGGCCCAAAACGGCCCTTCCTCTGTCCGCCATATAGAGTAAAACAACCCCAGGACGATCTATGTTGGTCCGTCATAGAGTAAATCGCGCTGCGCGCGAGAAAATTTTTTGAATGAGTATAGGGCGCGACTCCGCGCGAGGCACCGCAAGCACAGCTTCCATGCTGTCGGGGCTATCAGAACTGAGCTTAAACATGGGCAATATGCACCGGAAAGCGCCTGCGGCAGGCTGGGAGCGAAAAAAATGAGTCCCGCAGCGCGAAAATGGTATTTCACAAACACTTCGTCCGAAATAGAGTAAAACAGCGACAGAGGGCCGGATTTCATAGAGTAAAACAATGAAAAATTTTGGGAAAAAGCGGACAGGCTTTATAGGTAGTGTCCGGGGGCCTCACCTTGTCTTGTCTCGCCACGTCATGATCCAGTCAGTCGTGTCTCTGTCTGCCACCCAGCTGGCCATGGAGCGCAAACTCGTCGTGTCTATTTGAACCAGTCGCGCCTGGGAAAAGCCAGCCTTCTCGCCCCCTTCTAGACCCCGGGCTCGGATCTTCTCCCGCTGGGCTTCTCGCCTCGGATCATCGGCGCCTCTCCAAACCGTAGCCAACTGACAGTGAGACGTGGCCATGGCCTGCCTGTAGTGTGCAGGCATAGGGATGCAATTGTAGGTATGCATAACTTAGCTAGCCCGGGTTCGGCTCCCAGCCTCTGATTTGAATCCCTGTACACATGTACCCATTTTTTCTTTCCAAAGTTCCAAACCGGCCCCCGTGTGGACTTTTCTTCACCCCGTTGTCCGTTGTCCGTGCCCGCACACGCATACGTATACAAGGCTTACCGTGAATCATCCAACCTCCGCCGGTGCGTCGTCGATTCTCAATCCCGGAAATCACTCTCATACTTATGCAGGTACACAGAGTACCTAAGAACTCGGATATGGTGTATGGCGCACACCTGCCCTTAATATCGGGTACATTCCCCCAGTCGCAGGAAGCCCGGGTTCGACTCCCGGCGTTCGAATATACGAACCGGCTTGTGTAAGGTTTTTTCTCCTAATTGCGAATCCCTCGCTGTGGAACGATTACTTGCACATATACAGGGCTCAAGTCTGTCTGTATAGGTACAAACTCTCGTGAACTCCTGAACCTCCGCAGCGTTTGTCCTCGAGTGCGTCGATTCGCAATCCCAGTAAGCCACGCACCGAAATCACTCACATATATTCAGGCTCACAGAGTACCCAAGAACTCGGATATGGTGTATGGCTTACACCTGCCCTTAATACCGGATACATTCCCCTAGTCGCAGGAAGCCCGGGTTCGACTCCCGACGTCTGAATTCACGTTCTTTCGAAAGAGTTTTTTGTCAATGGTATTGGATTTTTTTGTTTCGTTGAGAGACGATTACTTGCACACATGTCGGGATCAAATCTGCATTGGACGCGGACGGGGTGCGGTTGGCTCGTGCACTCCTCAACCATGTCGCGTTTACGTCCTGGTACGTTGATTCTCACTTGCTGGTCGCTGAGATCTCTCTCATTTATACCAGCTCGCGACATACTCAAGTAATCGGATGTGGTGCACGGTGCACACCTGTTCTGGATACAGCTTGAGATGCAATCTAACAGGAAGCCCGGGTTCGACTCCCGGCGTCCGAATGGTTTTCTTTCCTCGATATTTTTCTATTCGATTGCTATTCGTATCCTTCTAATTTTTGTCTCGCTGTAGGACCAACACAAGTACTGACTCACTTTTACCAGGCTCAAATCTGCATAAGACTCGGACGGGTTGTATGGGCTCAGGAACCCGTCGCATTTAAATTCTGGCGCGTCAATTATCACTTGCTGTTCCCTGAAATATCTGTCATATATCCAGGTACAGAGTACCCAAGAACTCGGATGTGGTGTACAGTGCACGTCTGTTTAGATTATGCAGTGAGCAACTACAAGCAGGAAGCCCGGGTTCGACTCCCGGCGTCCGAATGTTGGCGTGCTTCGCGATTTTCTTTGGTGCATCGATTCTCATTCGCAGGACGTGATCAACTCTCTTTTATATCCAGCTACAGAGAGTAGCCAAGAATTCGGATGTGGTGTACGGTGCACGCCTGCCTATGACCGGTACGCCCATGAAGTTGTAGGCAGGAATTAATCCCCGGGTTGGACTCCCAGCGTCCGAATACAAGAACATTTCTTTTTCTTTCAATGCCATTCGTACCCTTTTGATTTTTCTTTCGCTGCGGGACGATTACTTGCTCACTCTTGCGGGGTTCAAATCTGCATAAGACGCGGAAGCGATGTGGAAGGCTCATGAAAAGGAATCGGACATGGTGTACAGGATTGAGTGTTGTAACTGCAAGCAGGGGGTCCGCAGTGTCCGAATGGTTTTCTTTCTTCGATGATTTTCTTTTCAATCCCATTCGTACCCTTCTAATTTTTTTGTTTCGGGACGAACACTGACTCACTTTTACGGGGCTCAAGTCTGCATAGGCGACAACTCTCGTGAACCCTCCGCCTCCGCCGCGTTTATTTCTGGTGCGTTGATCCCCATTCTCGGTTGGCGCTGAATTTTGTGCTTCAATCCCATTACGTGGTGGACTCTCCGTCGTACAAGCTCACAGAGTAATCAAGACATCGGACCTGGTTCACGGTGCACGCCTGTATGGATTGGGTCTTCATTGAAGAGCAAGCAGGAAGCTCGGGTTCAACTCCCGGCGTCCGAATAGTGCCTTCTCCTAGCATTTTTTCATTCAATGTTATTCGGACCCTTCTGATTTTTAGTTCGCCGCGGGACGAGTGCTTGCTCGCTCAAATTTGCATAGGACGCGGACGCGGTGTGCAAGACTCGTGACCCCTGAACCTCCGCCGCGTTATATTCTGGTGCGTTGATTCTCGCCCCCCGCTACGTGCTGAACTCTCTCCGATGTCTCCCGGTTGAAAATGTACCCAAGGAATCGGACGTTGTGCACGATGCACATCTGCCCTAAATGATACAACAAGGGAGTCACTAGTCGCAGAAAGCCCGGGTTCGACTCCCGGCATCCGAATGGTTGGCTTCGTTCGGAAATGTGTCTTTTTTTAATCCGTTATTCGTACCCATCTGATTTTTTTTTTTCGCTCTGGGACGAACACTGACCCAATTCTTCAAGGCTCAATTATAGACAACACCTCTCGTGCCCCTTGACCGCCGCAGCGTTTAAATGCATTCTAGTGCGTTGATTCTCGCTCCCAGTAAGCGCTCAAATCTCTGGCGTATATTCAGGTTGAAAGCGTACCATAGGAATGGGATGTGGTGTACGGTGCACACCTGCCTCACTTAAGTGAATGGGACTTCGTAGGTAGGAAGTCCGGGTTCGACTCCCGGCGTCCGAATGATGCACTTCGAGACAGGGTCTTTTTTTGGTACTCTCATCGTTGCATTTTTTTGGACGGATACTGACTCACTTTTACAGGGCTCAAATCTGCATTTGTGGGACTAAGACGGGGTGCAGAAGGCTCGTGGACTTCTCACCCTCCATCGTGTTTACATTCTGGTGCGTCGATTTCCACTCCTGGGAAGAACTGAGCGCTGAAATCACTCACATATAGCCAGGTTTACAGTGTACTCAAGAAATTGGACGTGGTGCACGGCGCACACCTGCCTCACCTATGATCAATCCGGATATGAAGTTGTGGTAGGAAGCCCGGGTTCGACTCCGACTTGGGAACGATTTTTTTTCAATGCCATTCGGACCCTTCTGATTTTTGTTTTCCTGTGAGACGAGTGCTTGCTCACTCTTATGGGGCTCTAATCTGCATAGGATTCTTCTCGGATGGAGTGTCGTGAGTCGTGCCAAATTGTGTCTGGCACCGTCTGCCACTCAGCTGCTGAGCTGGAGCGCAGACTCGGTGCATCCCGTTCCAACCAGTGGCGCCTGGGAGAAGTCGGCCTTCTCGCCCCCTTCTAGAACCCGGGCTCGGATCTTCTCGTGGGCTATCATCTCTTCTTCGCCAAACCGCCAATGTTAACCGCGCTCGAACCTGCTCATTGTGTGCAGGCATGAGGCGAGGATGCAATTGTTGGTATGCTTAGGAAGCCCGGGTTCGACTCCCATCATTTCTTTTCAATGCCATTCGTACTCTTTGCATTTTTGTTTTGCTGCGGAATTGACACTGACTCAGTTTTACAGGGCTCGACTCGCCCCGTTTACATCCTGGTGCGTCGATTCTCAATCCTGGGAAGAACTGAGCGCTGAACTTACTCTCATATATTCAGGTACACAGTGTACCCAAGGAATCGGATGTGGCACGAACTCTACTGTTGCATCCTTCCCTAGTCGCAGGAAGCCCGGGTCGACCCCCGCCGTCCGAATGATTTCGTTCGTTGCGATTTTCTTTTTCAATGCTATTCGTTAATTCGTACCCTTCTGATCTTTGCTCGCTGCGGGACGCTTAGAGTTACTCCGGAGTCGAGATTTGGATTTGGATTTGATCGGATTTGGATTTGATGGTGACTGATGGTGACTTCCATCAGTCACTCACGTCAGGACCGGTCCAACGGAGTGCCAGCTCATCGTCTCTTCGGCGTTGTCCCGCCGTGCCCGCCCCTTCCCGCCTCATCCGCACTCAAAGTTAGTGACCGTGTTGCAGCAGACTAGCTGAACAAAAGTGTTGCAATTACCTAAATACATTGTTGTAAAGAAACCCGGTAAATTAAATGTGAGAATTGGCTCGTTGGAAGCCAGTTGAAAGAGCTCGTTGTCACCGCCGATGAGCGACGATGTCGTGTCAACGGTGTCCAGAGGTTTGTCATTTGCCTGATGGCTGATTCAGCTGTGATTTACATAACAATCCAGCTCCAAATCCGATCAAATCCAAATCCAAATCTCGACTCCGGAGTAACTCTTACGTTCTCACTTTTACGGGGCTCAAATCTTCATAAGAATAAGATATGGACGGGGTGTGGATGACTCGTGAATCCCTTCAACGTCCGCCTCCACAATGTTTACATTCTGGTGCGTCGATTCTCATTCCTGGTATGTGGTCAACTCTCTGTTGTACATTCAGGTTGAAAGTGTACTAAAGGATTCGAATGTGGTGTATGGCGCACGCCTATTCTGGATTCCAAGGCTTCGTACAGCGTCAAACATGGAGCCCGGCTTCGACTCCCGGCGTCCGAATATAGGGTGTAACCCCCGTTTTTTCTTTCCACACCGGCCGTGTAGGGTTTTCTGGAAAGCCGTCAAACACCTCATGCGCTATTTGAAGGGAACTTGGACATGAAGCTAACCTATGCTCCTTTAAAGTCCCCACTGATGAGCTTTTCACGACTTACTCTGACGCGGATTACTAGCTTTATTCCACAGGGACAACTCGGACAATGGCGGTCAACATCGGGCATGGTCGTGAAAATCGGCAGCGGGGCTGTTAGCTGGCACAGCCGGCTAGGAGCATTGTTATCGTCTCCATTACGGAGGCCGAATATCGGAATATGTCGCGGCGTGCACAGCGGGAATGGAGATTATCTATCTTCGCTACCTCTTGGTCGAATTACGTGATGCATCGACCCTCTACGTCGACAATCAATCCAGGTGATCAAGTGGCTGAAGATTGATAGCATCCGTAGCATACACCTGACGCGGTGTATGGAGTATGGGCCCGCGCTGGAAAATACCTACCTTACATAGCGGAAATTTTCATGGCACAACCTAAATTTCCAAGTTCCAGATAAATCGAGCTGAGCGTTTGGCCGCCTCAAGGCCGCCTCGAGTCTCGGCATCTCGTCGCTCAATTCCATTACCGAGCCGCTGCATTCAGAAGCAGTTACGAGACAAGTTACGAGACATATACAGTACTCCATCGCCTTATCGCCACTCGCAGGGCCGTTGGCCCCGTGGACCTGTCAAATATCTACCACTTGTTCTTCCCCTGACTTGATAAATATATTCGCGGAATTCCGTTAGATTAAGTACTTAAAGAGAGAAGCTCTTACACATCTTCCCATGGCGTTCCTCGACATCCCAGGCGCGATCCCATGCGCCGCCTTAGTGCTCGGTGCCGCACTATATCATGTCTTTTCCCGGAACAAGTGCCGCTCCAGATTACCACTTCCCCCTGGACCCAGGAAGCTGCCTCTGGTGGGAAATCTGCTGGACGTACCCGCAACCTTCGAGTGGGAGAAGTACATGCAATGGAGCAAAGAATACAGTACGCCAGACCTTTTAGTTTTCTTCCTTTCCTGTTAACTGTTCAAGACTCCGATATCATTCACTTGAACCTGGCAGGGCAATCGGTGATTGTGCTGTCCTCGTTAGAGGCGGCTGAGGCCCTTCTCGAGAAGCGCTCCGCGCTCTATTCAGATAGGCAAATTTCTCGAACTCGAATCTGCTGCTTGTGGAAGTAATACTCTTTCAGATCAGATCTTCCTATGGTGAATGAGTTGATGGGTTGGGATTTCAATGTTGGTATGCACCGTTCTTTCTCCTTGCGTTTCCCTTTTTAAGTCCGATGTGCTCTAGCACTTATGAAATATGGTATGGGTCCTACGTCAAATTAATACACCAGCCATTCATCAATGCATATATAGGCGATACATGGTGCGCAGCCAACTTAGGAGTATATTTTTCGATATTGGTTGATGCCTCTCCCTTCTAGGCGTACGAACCGCCGGCTCTTGAAGCAGGTGTTTAATCCAGCGATCTACCATCCTTTGGAGCTGACGGCTGCTCGTACCCTCCTCGGGAGTCTGCTGGATAGCCCTGATGCGTTCTACGCTCATTTACGCCAGTAAGTGCGTATCTATCCCGACATACAACCGCTCAGCCTTCCCTGCAAATAAAGGATGGCGGGAGAGATCATAATGTCAATGGCATACGGGATTGATGTCCTGCCGTCCGGCGACCCATATGTCGCCCTGGCTAACAAAGCCATGCACTCGCTGGAAGTCGCCCTCGTAGATCGGTACCTCGTTGTAAGTCCAGTTTACCAAAAGAACATGATCACATTTA